TGGTGCCAGAGATCACACGGTAGAAGTTTTACAAAACCAGCAACTTATACCTTCTCTCAACAACTCAAATGGCAACTATAAATGTGAACTTTGCTGGATGAAATGCACAGGAACAAAGGCAGGGTTTGACTGTGGAACAGACCATCAATTGTTCATATGCAAGTTTAAGTTGACTATATTATTCACAGTTTGAGACAAAACCATTAACATCACATGCAAGTAAAGTTTTGCTGAAGATAATTCATAAATGTTTGCAACAGTACATCAACAGGGAGTTGCCAGAAATCTAAGCCAGATTCAGAAGAGAATGTGGAGTGATAGATATTGCTGAATGCAACTAATACCAGAAAGATACTTTTGTGTGTATTGTTTTTGCAAAGGCTTTCCACTATGTGGATCACAACAAATTATCGATAACATTGTGAAGAATGGAAATTCGAGAACACTTAGTTGCATTCAGGCAAAATCTGTACATAGGCCAAGAGGCAATTGTTCAAACAGAACAAGAGGATACTGCGTGGTTTAAAATCAGAAAAAGCGTGCATCAGGGTTGTATCCATTCATCATATTTATTCAATCTGCTTGGGCTATATGAAGAATAATGCAGCATCATGATTGGAGAGATTCATTAATAGTATGTGCTATACAGATTGTTTGCCGAAAATAAAGAGGACTTTAAGCATTTACTGATGAAATCAGATGACAGCCTTCAGTATGGATTACACCTCAGCATAAAGAAAATAAAAATCCTCACAACTGGATCAATAGGCAGCATATTGATAAAGGGAGCAAAGACTGGAGTTATTAAGGGTTTCATTTTACTTGGATCCAGAATCAGTACTTATGAAAGCAGGACTTAAAGAAATCAAGGTATGTATTGCATTGGCAAATCTGTTGCAAAGGATCTCTTTAAAGTGTTTTAAGAGCAAAGATGTCATTTTGAGGAGGAAGGTGCACCTGGCCCAAGTCATGGTATTTTCAATTGCCTTACATGAATGTGAAAGCTGAACAATAAATAAAGAAGACCAATGAAAAATTGATGCATTTGAATTATGGTGCTGGTGAAGAATTTTGAAAGTACCATGTACTTCCAGAAGAACAAAAAATATGTCTAGAAAAATTAGAAACAGAATGTCCTTCAGAAGTATGTTCAGACTTTGTATCACATACTTTGGACATGCTAGGAGAAACCAGTTCATGGAGAAGGACATCATGCTTAGTAGAGGGTCAGCATCAGTGAAAAGAAGGTCACAACAAGATGAACTGACACAGTGGTTGTAACAATGGGCTCAAACATGGCAGATTGTGAAGATGGCACAAGACCAGGCAGTGTTTAGTTTTGTTGTACAAAGTCACCATGAGTAGGAACCAACTTAACGGCACCTAACATCGATAACAACATTTTTACTACTATAATTGAATTGTTGTGATAGGCAGTTTTTAAGACAAGTATTTTTAGAAGTGTTTCAGAGTAAAAGCACTTAACCATGCAACCCTAGGTTTTCTACAGTCTCCCAAATCATCGTACTTGAAAGATCACTGAAGGCTTGACAACCACCAAAGCAGGACACTAAGAACCAGTGGCATCTGGCTCGTCTTCTTAAATGGGTCCACTGATTACACACACTTACTTAAATCTGCAATCCCAAAATATGGTTTTGGGAGTAAAGTGTTTGTGATTATACATTTGGAAAAAATGAGACTATATTCATCGCTTGCAGATTTATAATGTAGAAAAGTCTTGAAAAAAAAAGAAACTCATTTAACATTTCTGATTACAGAAACTTTTGCCTTTGTGTAAAAGTCATGGGGGATGCAAACATACATAAATTAGAGGACATGAGAACGAACTTTCTTAAAATGGACAAAAATTCTTCCTACTTGGCCAGTGAATCAATACTTACAAAATTATAAGCTTAAGACTTGTTTTTACGGGCCACAAACTTTTATTGGGGAAGTCATATAATTTCAACGACTTGATTACTTGATTTAGGAGAGGCTGACTTCTATGTAGAGCATATAATCTTCAAGGACCATAATTTTCTAAACTTTACATTTTGAAATAATTCACATTTATAGAAGTCACAAAAAGATACATCGCCATCTATCCCTTCTCTAGAATCTAAAATGTTAACAATTTACCACATTTCCTTTATTATTTTCCTCTTTGTGTGTAGCTATACAAACATACACACACATTGTGATGTTATTATTAGGCTACCTAGGCCATAATGCTCAGTATTATATAATTAGCCTCTACTTTGTAACATGACATAAGGTAAGTTTCCTGGGGGAGGTGGTGGTGGCCTATATCCAATATATGTGGATGCATTGGCAAAGCTGTTTCTTGATTCTGCATCCAACGTGTCATGATCCGACCGCCAGTTCTTGGGATTTGAGCCAGCAGCCTGCTTTCTGAACTTCTGATTTTGGTTCATCAGTCCCTGCAACCACGTGACTCAAGAGAAGCCTAGTTTGACATCTACCCCATAGATTTGGGGCTTGCCAGCCTCCATAACTTTATGATCCACTTCCTTAAAATAAATTTCTCTATTTATATACACTTTGCTGGTTTTGCTCTAAAGAAGCCAGTCTATGACATACATATATACATTTCCACTTCTGAGCTGTTTGAGTTAGTTGATGATATAAAGCTCTTTTAAGTCTAAATAGTTCTGTATGTGTAAGTTACAGGGATATTCTCCTTCCATTGCTGTAGAGCAAGTATTAAAATCAAGAAATGATTAGATTTAATTCTATTACTCTATCTACAGACAGTATTAATATTTTTTCAATTGCCTCAACAATGTCCTTTGCAATACTAGTTGTTGTTGTTGTTGTTGTTAAGTGCCATTGAGTTGGTTCCGACTCATAGCGACCCTGTATAGGGTTCCCAAGGAGCGACTGGTGAGCTTAAACCACCGACCTTGCAGTTCAAACAGCTTTGCATTAACCCACAGCACCACACCAGGACTCCATAATAGTAGTAGTAGTAACAAAAGCTAAAGCCCAGCATTTTTCCTACCTAGAATCACTGCTTACATTTAGTTGTCATGTTTCTCTAGTCTCTTTTCTTCCGTAAGTTTCTCAGTCTTCTTGTTTCCATGAGCTTGTCAGTTTTAATTTATCTCACACAATGTCCCTCAGTTTGGATTTGTCTGATGTTTCCTCATGATTAGATTCAGGTTACGCATTTCCAGCAGGACCCACATGAGTGTGTGTCCTTCTAATTGCATTGCAGCAGGAATCACATGAGGCTAACTGATCACTTAGTTAAAAGATTCTCTGTTGTAAAGTTAATGCTTCTGTTTGTGGGAGTAGCTTACATATTTTGAGACCATAAAAATATCCTGTTTCTTATCAAACTTTCAGAAACTAGTTTTAGCATCCATTGATTTTTCTTGCCTGAAACAATTATACTATGGTGGTTGCCAGATAGTGACTTTTTAAACCTAGCATTCTTTTCAGATTAGCTATTATTCTCTTATAAGGAAGAATTTTCTCCTCTCATCATTACTTATCATTTGTTACTAATAGCTAATATTTATTTTGATTAATTGTGAGCTGTGTCCTGACTGTGCTCCCTGACTGGTTTCGCTCAACACTAACATGTGACCACTCTTGTTCTGGTGGTTTCTGTTGTTGTCTTCAGGTTGGTTCTGACTCATAGTGACCCTCCCTGTATGTTGTTGTAATATGTCAGAGTCGGTTCCGACCCATAGCGACCCTGTACAGGGTTTCCAAGGCTATAAATCTTTACAGGAGTAGAAAGCCTCATCTTTCTCCCACCGAGCGACTAGTAGTTTTGAACTGTTGACCTTAAGGTTCACAGCCCAATTCGTAACCACTATGCTACCAGTGACCCTGTATAGATATTGCTTAATTCACCATTTGGAAACTCTAGTCCAGAAAGGTGCCCAGTGAGATATGTATGTAGTAATCAATGCTACTGTAAAACTGATCTTCACAAGATTTATCATTTTTCCCTTGCTTAATAAATGGTTCCTTAGTACAGCTAATGACACAGAAAAAGGGAGAACTGATGAGACACGTACATACTCACTTTTTCCTCATCATGGGAAAGAAAGTCAAACATGACTGAAATTATCTGTTTACCTAAGTAGCCTTAGGTTCTGGAAGATTGTTGTTGTTAGGTGCAGTGGAGTTGGTTCCAACTCACAGCAATCTTACGCACAACAGAACGAAACAACAGAACAAAACAGAGTTATCCTCATAATTACTATGTTTGAGTCCATTGCTGTGATCACTGTGCCAATCCATCTTGTTTGGGGTCTTCCTTGTTTTCACTGATCCTCCACTTTACCTAGCATGATGTCCTTTTCCAGAGACTGGTCCCTCCTGATATGTCTTACGCATGAGGGAAGAAATCTCACCATGCTGGCTTCTAAGGAGCATTTTGGCTGTACTTCTTCCAACACTGATTTATTTGATCTTCTGGTAGTCCATGATACTTTTAATCCAAACCATAACTCCAATGTATCAATTCTTCTACAGTCTTCCTTATTCATTGTCCAACTTTCACACGCATATGAGACTATTGAAAATATCATAGTTTGGGTCAGGCACACCTTAGTTCTCAAGCTGACATCTTATAAATCAAATTGATACATATGCTATAAAATCATTTTAGCCATGAAATTACTCATGATAAATAATGTGCTTCAAATGTACATAAGGACACAGAGGGTTTTGGTTTTTTTTGTTTGTTTGTTTTTTAACACTCTTTAAAAAAACAAGGTTATTTTAGAAAGCCATAAGCTGAGGCAAGCATAGTTTGGGTTCTTCTGGGAAAAGAACTTGTAATCACTGCACCATGAACCAAAGCAAAGGAGTCAGGCTTGGGTCAAAGGTCTATTAGTGACAGCAGCAGCAGTATCTCGAGAAAGCATGGGTCATGTACACTGACTTGTACAAGGAACAGTAAGAAAAATGAGCCACCAGGCATGAGCTTGAACATACGTAATTATTAGTAAGCCTCCTTGAAAGTGAGCCTTTTTAATTCGTTTATTAAATATTGTATTCAATTTAAAGGCTTCAATCATCCATAATCACTATGATAAAATGTATGTGTACATATAAAAATACTCGTTGGACACACTTTAAGATGTACATAATTGTGTTTTGAAAACAATGCAACATGAGCTATAATTTGATATAAAAAACAATGAATCAGAAGCATGGAAAACAAACTGCTTTAATAAGAGCCTATTGTAGATTCTGGAATGATTGTTGCATGCATATCCCGTGTCATGTTGGACTTCTCCTTCAGTTTTGACTGCAGCAAAGTGTGTTCCACAACACCGATTCTAATGTCCATCTGAACAGTTTCTTGCTTCAGTTTTGTTAAGCTCTGTTTAATCTTCACCAAAGGAGCTGCAGAATGAAAACAGCATGGAATCAAAATGTTCACTTGAGGTATCAGTCATGACAGAATTGTATGACATTTTCCTCACTTGTCCTAAGCCAAAAATAGGGTTACAAACAGAGCCAACAACTTGCTGACATTCACACAGTTTTGCTGTGGCATTTTAAACACCTGAGAGTTTTAGGGAAATGAAGCAGCATTTGAGGCTGAACTTTCCTCCTTTTCTAGGGGAAGGGCTGCTAAAGGGTGTTTAAGGATATCCTCACCATGATTTTATGGCTAGTATATTTGTCTGAGGAGTCCTGGTGTGGCACATTGGGATAAAGCACTGACTGGACCACAAAGTCGGTGGTTCAAACTCACCAGCTGCTCCTTGGAAGCCCTATACAGGGTCACTATGAGTCGGAACTGACTCGATGGCACTTAACAACAATAACACTTGTCTGAAGGAAAAGGGGGGAGGCAGAATACACCAGAAGTCTGTTACACCCTTAGAACTCTAAAAATCTTTCTAGGGCGTAGAACAGTCTTAGGAAATTACCGCTGGAGTCACGCTGCTAACCTTGAAGTCACTAGTTCGGAACGACCAGTTGTTCTGCAGGAGAAAGATAAGGCTTTCTGCTTGCGTAAAGATTTACAGCCTCGGAAATCCTGTACAGGGTCTCCATGAGTCAGAACTAACTCCATAGCACACTACTGCCACTATCATATCAAAGTAGCTAACTCACAATGGGGGAGGATTACTAATTTTTTTCTATTTGACCCCTGCCTAGTGAAATCTACTGGGGAAGAGGAAAAACAACAAAGGTCATGATATCACTGCCTTTGTGCTTTTTAGGGCATATACTTAGTGCCTTTTTGTACATAAAATGGAAAAATGAAGCTCATTTTACAAAAACAGCATGTAACACTATTTTAAAAATTGGCATAATAGTGTGTTTCTTTAAATATTTACCATTCTATCTCTAAATCAGTACAGTTTGAAGAAGATGAACCTAAATGGTAGTTTAAAAACATTTCCACTCTTCTTATTCTCAGTTGATATGTAAGGAAATCAGTATATTCATTGTTGGATATCATCTTTAGGCCATGCACCTCACTTCCAATAAAGAGCTCATTTTAAAAAGCAAAATCCCTATTTAGTAATACCTTTCTGTTTTACAGACTTGCTCCCTGTTTCTTCTTAAAAGAATGAGTGCACTTACCACCATCAGTCATGCTGCTGCCTTTCTCTTCCATTTCTTGTTTTACCTTTTCTAATTCTTCTGTTACCTTTTATCAAAAAAAGTTTTCATGATCATTGAATCTTAATAAACTTACAAAAAGTTTTAGTATCTTGAGAAAAAGTAATACCTATAAAGACATATGAGTATATTAGGGATATTTTGACATTCACCATGGGAGGAAGATTGACACCACGGTACACAGCAGTTGCAACAGCATAGGAGAATATACCAGCTTCCCTTCTGTAGGACACTAACTAAAAACAATGTGTAAACCATATTGTAATACCTAAGAATGCTCTGCGGCTCAAGCTAAACTGTGAATTCCAAGAAGTATATTGTGTTGTTATATTGGTTCTTATCTGTATTCTACATAGAGATGATATTATAGCCTCTATTATTAGCAAAGTTTCCTTCTAGCATTTACTAAAGATGAAAACTGCCAATGACAACTTTTAATATGATCTATAATGAAAGATAAAGGAGCTCTGGTAGCGTAGTGGTTACGAATCGGGCTGCGAACCTTAAGGTCAGCAGTTCGAAACTACCAGCCGCTCCGCGGGAGAAAGATGAGGCTTTCTACTCCCGTAAGGATTTACACCCTCGGAAACCCTGTACAGGGTCGCTCTGGGTCGGACCCGACTCGACGGCACTTAACAACAACAACAAATAATGAAAGATATAATTACTGTAACTTAGTAAGCATTGTTTTTATCATAGTGGTGAGTAAAATGTTCCCTGGGAATAAAGCACTTATCCAAGTAAAATAAATTCATTTTTTTTCAAGCACTGAAACTTTACAACTAGGATAACTACCTACTCCAAAAGAGCAAAATAGTTCCCTGGACTCCCTTCAAATGTTAATTTACCTAACAAAAGTGAACACTTTACTTCTACATAATGCTTTCTTTGTCTAGGAGCACCCCAGGATTAGGTTCTAAATATTTCTAATGTTGCATTTTTAGTATTTTAAAATGACTATTTGCTCCTCATATAGTCTCTATAAAAGAAGCTTAAGTCTATTACATAGTAAAGTTTGTGGCAACCATATTGGGTCTTAACCAAAGACAACCTTAGATTTGAGCTCCAAATTGGCTACTGACCTTGTTGCAAGGAAGGAGTTAAAGTCACGGGACAGAACAACACACAAAATCACACAAGCTATCAACAGAAACAACTCAAAACAAACCTTACAACATGCACACTATCATTAACATGAGGTGTTTTGTTTTTGTTTTTTCCCCCATAAAGATTTATAGCCTCAAAAACCCTGTATAGGGTCAACTGTGAGTCAGAACCATCTCAAGAGCATATGACCACCACCAACCACAATAGAGTCCCCTATGCCAGTGTTTTACCTATATTTCTATATATGACTTCTGAAAACTTATGTCAGAAATCAAGATTAAGGAAGGCTAGAAATTTGTTAGTATTACAGGTTTTATGTTGAATATAAGTTTTTTGAACAGGTTTTATGTTGAATATAGGTAATAGAGTAACTTCAAAGATTTTATGGAAATAGGAAGCATATAAATAAATACTTGAGAAATAGATAAAACAATTAGGATTTTTGTCTGATCAAGAAAGTGTTTTAAACCCCCCCCAAAAAAAAAAAAAAAAAAAAGCTAAAGAGGATAGAGAGAAACACTGTAAACTGATGATATATAGTGGGGATAATAATCAATGTAATGAAACAAGCTATATGAATAGTTGAATGTGAAGCTGATGATGTGTCCTGTAAACTTTCACTCAATGCAAAATAAAAACATTTAATTAAAAAAAAAAAAAAAAGAAAGAAAAGAAAGCCAGAAACATTAAAAAAAAGAAAGTGTTTTAAAGCCACAGGAAGCAATTACTGAACTAACCAACCTATGGTTATGGCGGTCTTAAACCATCTGATGGCTCTGCACAGCTGGAGGCCGACTGACAGGGTGTGAAGCACAGCAAGAGCACACAGTATGTACCTCAGATAGGAGCCTGGTCCTTTCAGTGACTCCTCCGTTTCCCTGCTGGTATCGCTCCCTAGCCTGAAGGGGGGAAGACATTGTTTATAATGCAAATTCAAAATAGAAGCAGAAGATTACTTAAATATGACTTCTTTTTGTGTTTGCAATTTCTGCATATTATTTTATGACAACCTCCTCCCTTGTTTGTGAATGCATTTATGAAAGTGACATTTAACTATAGTTATTTTATCTCTCTAATAGGCACCATGTATTTAACTGAAGCACTATAAAATGATGAACTGCCTTAACCTTCATATACTGACTGTGTAGAAAAACTGTTCTCAGCCATTTTTAAATAGTTTAGGACAGTGGCTCTTGGTCAATATAATCTGTATACTGTGCAGAGAAAACCAGTTCTAAAAATTAATCAAAATAGAGTACCAGGCTTAGCAATTAATAAAGATTAACAAACAGAATGACAGTACAATCAACTGGAATATGTTCTTGGGGAAAACTAACAATTATTTAATATTAATGTTAGACAGATATGTGGTATCACAGAATTTTACAGCATTTTTGGAGTGAATTTATGTGTATAAGGATATAATAAGACAATAAAAAGTAAAGACTACTTTCTATTTGGTCTTTAACTGAGACCTTCTGAAAGTATAGACATATCTCAGGTTATACCTCTATATTTTCCCTCCTTCTTTAGCCTGTCTACTGAAAGAAAAGAATATGTGCAAACTATGTTTGCAGTGTTCTTCTCAGCCTGCCTCAACATCAGGAAATAGGGGGCAAAAGAAAAGTCAGATCCTTAGGGCTAGGACAAGTAACTGCAGCTTTCAGATGCTGGTTTTTCTATTTGTGTTTTTGTGTGTAGAGGTTAAAATTCTAAAATCTGGGAGAATTACATTCCTCCCCCCCCCTTATTTAATTAATTGGAGTCCTGGTGTGGCACTATGGTTTAATGCACTGGATTGCAAAATTGGTTTGAACTTCAAAGTCGGCGATTCAAGTTCACCAGAAGCTCCTAGGAAACCCTATACAGGGTCACTATGGGTCGGAACTGATTCGACTACTAATTAACAACATTTAATTAATTAAACTGCTCTTCTCTGAACCTATCTTGCTTTCTTACTTTTTATTATGTGGTTGTAGCTATTATGGCAGGAGTTCAGGTAGCGTAGTGGTTACGAATCGGGCTGCAAACCACAAGGTCAGCAGTTCGAAACTACCAGCTGCTCCATGGGAGAAAGATAAGGCTTTCTGCCCCTGTAAAGATTTACAGCCTCGGAAACCCTGTTCAGGGTCGCTATGGGTCGGAACCGACTCCATGGCACTTAACAATAAGCTACTATGGCAAGGATCACTTCCTTCGTCTGACACTTGTAAATATACCCTGCTCTTCCTCCTCATACACTAAATGATCAGCAGAGCTAGAAAACAGCTTGACACTGTTTCTGTTCTAAGCCAAGTCCACCAACAACACATGCCTTCATTTATTTAAATAAAATGAAAGTGTGCTTTTAAAAAAGACTTCTGAGAGATCATTTCTGTTATACCTACTTCTCACTTATTGACTACCTTATTACATGACATTTCACATTTATGACAATAGTAAAAAATCTACTATTTGACTATTTTGTGCATTAGTGATACACTTCTGGCAGTAATGAATACAGAGGCAAGAGTAACCCTAGCTGTGACGACTAAGGTTACTAAGTGTCAGCTGAGCAGGGCCATTTTCTTAGTGGTTTTGTAGTTATGTAATGATGTAATCCGGCAGTATGTACTGCTGTTGTCATCCTGCATTTTCATTTAAGTGTCTGTTATTCAGCACCTAAATATATTGATAAATAAGGAGTGGGTGTAAATATAAGTGGCGATGGCAAGTCCTATGCTTCACTTTTTAAAGTGGGCAGAAATGTTGCTTTTTGAAGATCATTTCACGATTCTCAGATATACGGTGCTGTGTCCATTTAGGGATTATGCCATTCATTGGAATAAATCCCTGGAGATCATTCTTAAATTACCTCACTCAGTTGGGCTTGAGCTGCACGGTATTCTTGAACCAAGTGCTCGAGCTGATTGTTGATGTATTTCTCTCGGCTGCCAATCTTTTCCAGAGTTCTACTTATTTCACTGTGCAGTTTGTCCAAAAACCCCTAAAATTTCCATGAGATTTTAGTAGATAAAATAATTCATCATAAAAACATTTTTCAAAAATGGGTTAAGTCTCCTTCAATCCCTCCCACATATGCTCAACCACATGTGAAAAAGTGGGCCATTTGAAATGTTCAATGACAAAAAAGATAGGCAATTAGAAATACTTCAGTCATACTTTGTAGAACATTAAAAAAGCACCTGGTAGTGCTAAGTCAATTCATTTATCTGTATGCATATGTAAAATGTATTTGAGAAGAATTTGCTTTTTTTTTTGACTGTTGACAATTAAAGTAGGTTAAGGGAATAATGCCTTCCCTGTAGCACAGTTCAAAGATGCCAGTTGGAAGTAGATGCCTAGACTTATAGCTCTAAACACAGCTTTGCTGCCTTGTGGTGTCCTCTAACAGTACTTATTTCTGACAGGATAGCAATTCTGGAAAGTTAAGGATCTAGCCATTGCTGTCCTAGTGCTGTACCATCCATTGAGATCCAGAGAGGAGAGAGTAATGAAATACCTCACTTTATATCAAGTTGCTTTTTTTTTAAAGATTAGTTTAAATGTTAGGGCTATTGAAAAGTACTATGGTACATTCAGTTAGGAAGCTCTTGAAAGACAAGGATTGTGTCTTGTTTTCCTTTTGCATTCTCCTATAATAGGCTCACCAGAGATGAGAATGTATGTATTGATTCAGCTGAAGTAATTCACATACCTTGGTCTCCTTTAGAGCAGATTCGATTCCACTTTTGTGCTGGTGCATTTGGTCAACGTGGACTCTCCAATCCTACAGGCATATGCACATAGGAAAAAAGTAAAAACATAGTATACTTCCTTCTTTTCTTGATACAGAGTTCTGCTCTTATTTTAATTACTTCTGTTGCTGCCCTATTTCAGGTGAGAGACTTCCCATATATAGCTTGCAATCAGATTATCAAGAAATATGTGTACAGCACTTTAGGATAAAAGGTTCTAAATAAATGTAAATTATGTGTTCACAGAATGATGCCTGACAATTTGAATATAAATTATTCCTGTACTGCTGGTGGTTAATATTTATGACTACCCATCAAATTTATTTTAAAAAATTCTAATTACTAGAAAAGAAATACTTGTTTAAACAGTAACGATTACACTTTCCAGAAGCAACTCTGGACTCAAATATCATATATCAAAGATTATTTTGTTCCTTGAAAATTAAAATGGGGCTATCTTCCTTAGTAGGGCTTTTCAGTCTCCTTTTAACTAGAGGATGTCTGTGGGCTAATGCGTCAGACTGCAAAGTCATTTGAACTGCAAGGTCGGTGGTTCAAGCTCACCAGCTGCTCTTTGGAAACCCTATACAGGGTCGCTATGGGTCGGAATCGACTTGATGGCACTTAACAACAACAACTTAATTATTACTGGAGTCCTGGTGTGGCACTGTGGGTTAATGTACTGGACTGCAAGGTAAGTTTGAACCGCAACATCGCTGTTCAAGCTCACCAACTGCTCCTTGGAAACTCTATACAGGGGTCACTATGAGTCAGAACTGACTCTATGGCACTTAAGAACAACATCATTATTAGAGTTTATACATTCTGAGATCATGTGAACCCTTATTGTACTTGTTTAAATTACTGTGCAAATTTAAAATCTACACCAAATTTTTAATTTCCTAAAAGATATAAATACTTCAATTTACTTTACTATTTTGCTGTTCAAGTGCCATCAGGTCAGTTCTGATTCATAGCAACTCTGTATATGTAGGTTTTCCGAGGAGGGGCTGGTGAGTTTGAACTACTGACCTTGTTGTTCACACCAACCTTGAGGCTGAGTGCTTACCCTAGGTGCTATACCAGAACTCCTATATTACTACAGGCAACACATTTATAAGATGAGAAAATCCTACTGTAAGAGAAAAAGCATTATGTTAAGTTGATGTTCTCTGGTGTTTCATTTGCTATCTATAACATTTTTTGAAGAGAAAATTGCTTTGTGACTAGTTCAATTTGATATATTTCTTAGCTTTGAAACAAAGTCTAGTGAGTACATGGTAAAAAAAAAAAAAAAAAAAAAAAAAAATTTGCTCAAATATTGTGGCGCGACTCAACTTACATGAAAAAGAAAACCAAAAAAGGCTAGTTCAAACACACCAAACACACAATTGTAATATATTAAAGCTGCAAAGGACCTCAAAGAGCATCTAGTCCCACACTTACAATTTCACAGATAAGCTAACACAAGCCCAGAGATAGGAAGCATACCCAAGTCTGCACAGTTAGTAGTACATCAGGATTCTAAGCCAAATGAACGGAGTCCCTCAGATTTCAGCAGTTTGGCGTTAATAAAAGGGGCAATTGGCTACGTGACTTTAATGATGGGGCTGGAGCAAAGAATACATCAGCACTTTCTTTCTTTCTTTTTTTAAATTGTGAACTGAGTGATAGTTTACATGGGAGAACATTGGCTTTATATCATTGTTTCATTGCAATGATTAAAATCTCCATGCATCATCATTCAACAGTATTTGCTTCCATTCCTTCTGTTTTTATTTTGTTGTTTTGTATTTTTTTTCTTGGGAGGGGTATATACAAAAACATTTTCTTTATTTTTTAATGCATTTATTTTTTGTCTCATGAGCAGGAAATATCGTAGAATATGAGAGCTGGAAAGGACCTTAGAGATTATCTACTCATTCATTTAACAATCATCTAATACAAAGTTTTGTTTTTTTTTTTACAGTTGAGGGGTTACTCACTGCCCATGAAGTGTGGTGACTATTAGACTGATCTGGCAAGAGAACAAGGTCCCTCAAACGCAGCCAGTTAACACTGCAGCAGGGAGGAAGAGAAAATGGCTGGCCTTTGCAATTAGACTAAATATGGCTAAGCCTGAAAACACAAGCCTGTTTAAACCCAGTTAAGCATCCTTATGAAATACAATGAAATGACATGTATTATCATTATTACTATTTCTAAAATACTAATCTTGTCTGGAGTCCTGCTGTGGTACTGTGGGATAAAGCACTGGACCACAGGTTGGTTTGAAACACAGGTCAGTGGTTTGAAACTCACCTGTCACTCTTTGAAACCCTATACAGGGTCACTCTCAGTTAAAACTGACTCGATGGAACTTAACAACAATCTTGCCTAGTTCCAAAAAGAATTTCAGTGGGCTTATTAAACACTGTACTAAACAGAGTTTTGGTGTAGGATAAGCACTGGACTACAATGTCACTTTGAACTGCAGTGTTCAGTGGCTCAAAACTACCAGCTGCTCCTTGGAAATCCTATACAGGTTTGCTATGAGTCAGAACCAACTTGATGGTACTAGGCAACAGTAACAGTCTTGCCTACCTCCAAAAAGAATTTCAGTGGGCTTACTAAATGCTAGTCTCAGGTATTTAAATTCTTCTTTCTCTTCCCATCAATCTCTTTGTCTGTCTCTCTCTATGTACATAGTATGTACATATAGATGTCACACACAGTATTTATGTGTTTGCTGACTGATTGTACCTGATGTGTCAGTTTTTTATCACCCAGTATTACTATGAATATGTTTTCATATATTAACATTCAATATATTTGTTTTTTGAGAGAAACAACCGGGCATAGCTCATCTACATAAACACTATGAACTAGCCAATGGTTTTACATTGATGTAAAACTCCATGGAGGAGAACTGGCATTTCAGTGGAACCTGAAGCCTTAGTAGCATTCTGACAGGCTAGAAAGGAGGGGGAGAGGAAGGGTATTTCAGCTTGAGGGAGCAGCATGAGGAAAAACAGGAAAATACACAGGGAACAATAACTCTAGGCTGCTGAGAGCATAAAATGTGAAGTTTTGGAAATGGGTTGGGAAGGATATAGATCAAGAGAGGACATGGCAAGAGAGGTAAGTGAAATTAGATCGAAGATTTTGAGTGTAACACTAAGAAATATGGGTTTTATCATGTGGATAATAGAATGTTATCAAGGCTTTTTATGGGAGAAAGATGTGGCAATCATTCCAAAAAGATTTACAGCCTTGGAAATCCTATGGGGCAGTTCTACTCAGTCCTTATAGAGTCCTTATGAGTCAGAATCAACTCAACAGCAGTGAGGATCAAAGACTTTTATTTTTTGTTTTAAAGATAAGTCTGTGTTTTGAAAAACTGGTTAGAAAATTAAGAAAGAGACTGAAGACAGGCAGGGAACCAGCTAGGACGTTTTGCAATGGTCCACATGCCAGATGAACAGGGTTTAAATTAGAGCAGAGCTTGTCAGGATGGAAGGAAAAGATGGATTCTAGGAACACAGTAACAGGCAGAACTAGCAGAAACTGAAGACTAAGGGGAAGTATAAGTTGGGGGAGAGCTTAAAGTGGAAGGTGAGGAAGTAGAGAAGAAGTTTTTAATGCTTCAAGCCTGAGAAATTAAGAGGATAATATAAGGTGGAGGGTCAGAGAAAAAGAGGAACACCCCCAGTGAGATGGATTGGCATCAATGGGCTCAAGCATGGCAACAATTGTGAGGCTGGCCCAGGATCGGGCAGTGTTTCGTTCTGTTGTGCACAGGGTCGCTATGAGTTGGTACTGACTCAATGACACCTAACAACAACATAATGGGTATGGAACAGATATTCAGAGAGTCAGAAATACTGAGAAATATGTATTTGAATTTGTCAACTTTGACAAGACATTTATCAACTTTGACAAGACATCTGTGTATTCTTATAGCTCACTGAAGTGGAAAGATAGTGATGATTTATAATCATGTACAAGACAAATCTAAAGGTCTGTGTTATTAAAATCTCCTAGGTGAACACATTTTCTGGTGTATCGTTATTAAAAAAAAGTCTTTAAAGTGTTTTTACTGTTTCACTCAGGAATTTCACCTCTAAAAATTATTCTCAAGGAAACCATTGGGGATACATATAAAGATAAATGTATATTTGTAAAAGCAAAATGGTATGAAACTCTAAATATTTAACTATAGAGAACCATTTAAACGAATTTTACAAATTTGTTCTACCATTAAAAATAAATGCATTTTTTTAAAGCTAACTCCAAGCAAAACTCAAAGATGCACTAGTGATGCACATATAACTGAAAATACTAATGAAGATACATGAATAACAATACACAAACTTAAGGTCAGTGATTATCTGTGGGTAGAAGGGCAGAGGAGAATGCACGTAACTTCAAGGGTGTTGTACATGTTCTGCTTTTCAATTTGGATAGTGGATACATGGGTGTTTGTTTTATTATTGGTCTTCATAATTAAATAGCTCATAAGCATCAAGTAAATTCCAACTCATAGTTAGCTATCTTACAAGACAGAGTTGTTGTTGTTAAGTACCGTGGAGTCGGTTCTGACCCAGAGTGACCCTGCACAGGGTTTCCGAGGCTACAAATCTTTATGGGAGCAGAAAACCTCATCTTTCTCCCACGGAACAGCTGGTAGTTTTGAACTGCTGACCTTGAGGTTAGCAGCCTGATTTGTAACCACCACACTACAAGAGCTCTACAACTACCTTATAGAGTTTCCAAGGCATAATATTATGGAAGCCTGTTGCATCATCTTTTTCCCACAGAGTAGTTGGTAGGTTTGAATAACTGACCTTACAGTTAACAGCTGAGCGTCAAACTGCTACACTACCAGAGCTCTTTCATAATTGTTGTTAAGCGCCATAAAGTTGGTAATGATACATAGAGACCCTATGCACAACAGAATGAAACACTGACTGGTCCTGAGCCAACCTCACAATCGTTGCTACATTAGAGCCTATCGCTGCTGCCATTGTGCCAATCCATCTCACTGGGGTCT